TAGGGATGGCCAAGGTGGGGCCCTAGGACCACCGATTGCCCCCAAGTCTGTTTCGGTGGTCCTTGCCTTTTCCCATTTTCCCCAAAGACAAATTGTTTCTCCTAGAGACCTTCTGGAGCAGGAATTCACCTTCTGAAAAGTTATAGGACCTCCCAATGCTCTTTTTAGCATTTTAAAATAGTCATTTTTCTATATGAGAAATGAGCTGAAAGTGTGAAGTGACATTGGCATTTCTAAAATTCATTTGCACTAATCCATGATCCCCAGAGCATCCTGGGGTACAGAATTAGCCCCTAGACCCACCACAGTGCCCATCCCTTTATTCCATTGCATAGATGGGCACAGTACATGCCTACTGAATGACAGTGCTTGGCACTTGGTCTGTGTCACATCCCAATAGAAGAAACCCATCTGTACTAGGAAACCTAGGAGAAGAGAAAGCAGACCATGTGACTTACAAGCAATGCAATAATGCCCCTGTACACTTTTGAGATTATATAGGCTACATGAAGAGCATATTGCTTAGTAGAGAATCCATTTTGCAAGCACAGAGCACCATATTAATTTCCTGGCACATCCACTTTGAAGGACCAGTAGCTGTTTCTGAGAAAATTCCTTTTTCAAGAACCTGAAAAATCACCACAAGTAGAATTGCTAGAGCAAAAACTGATGGGGGCTCCTGTACCTTCAAATGGTTGAGTAGAAGGAATTCCAGCAGAATTCAACTTTGCCTATTTTACACTTTTTTTTAAAAAAGGTTGATCCAGTAATAGCTGGATTTTAATCCATCTGGACCAGATTTACCGTAATCATGCTTAGAACAAGCCCATTGCATTCAGCAGGACTCTATGCACAATGAAGCTACATCCTATAGACATAAATGGATGTACTCTAAATGGGGCTGGTTCTGGATCTGACCCATTGACTTCAGCTGGAGAAGAACTATCTGGTCAAAACCTTCCAATTATGCACCATGTTGTGTGGAGCCTTTGGAACACACAGGAGTTGAGATCCCACACTTGCACATAGCTGGGCATGTGCATTTCCACATCCTCACACATGCTGGCAGTTTACAAATCCTGGAAGGTGCCCCTACTCTGGTTGCTTACTAGTGAGGAAGATAGGGAAGTAAGATGAAAATTAAGACCATAGAGAAGCAGCTTGTCTCAGCTTGGTTGGGGAGGGGGAAGAGAAATGAGACTATACTCTTAAATGGAGCTCAACCATCATTTCCTTCCCCCAGCAGCCTAGACCAGCTGGATCTCCATCATCTGAATTTCTTCCCTGCTTCCACCATTCCCTCTGAAGCAAGGAGTAGCACCATCTCCTCCAGGGTTGAAAGCTACACTTGTTGTGAGAGGCTCTTAGATGGAGCACAAGGGCAAAAGAATAGCCTCCTGTGCTCCATCCAGAAAGGGACACACATGCATTTAAGCTGCATTTACACATGCTTAGTAACTAACAAGATGCAGCAAGCCTTTTGCTATTCTGTTGTCAATGCTCTGTCAAACTCCCTGTCAAACTCTTAACAATTAATAGAAACCAAGCCCTATGAGGAATGGCTGAGAGAGCTGAGTGTTTTTAGTTTGGTGACTAAGAGGTGATCCGATTGCTATCTTTAAATATTTGAAGGGATCCATGTACAAGGTTGAGTGAGGTTGTTTTCTGTTGCTCCAGAGAGTAGGACATTAACATAAATTGCAGCGATTTCCCCCAAACATTAGCAAAAAACATTATGTAAGAACCGTTGTACAGTGGAATAGACTGCTTTAAAGGGTAGTGGATTGTCTTTCATTGGAGGTTTTGAAACCAAAGTTGGATCTCTCAGAAGTCCTTTTGTTGTGTTGAGGATGTGAAAAACTTTCAGTCATGATTTTGTTTTGTTTCTCTGATTCCCACATGTGTTCTTGTCTCACCCTTTGTTCTTATCAGGTTTCAAGACTTTGTTTTCCCCTTCCTGCATGGAAATCCATACACATTTTTGAACATACTGAAAGTAATCTTTGACTACAATTCCCCAATGTTCTCTCTTTTTGTACAGAGTTTCCTTATAGACTAAACTACATGCGTACCCTTTTCAAAGAAATTCTACATATTTTTAATAATTCATTTAGAATATATATAGCCATAGTTTTGCACTTGTTTTATTTCTCCAAACACATTGCAAGCCTTTCAAATTCCAAAGCAAGTGATCCTAGCAACAACCACAGGAGGTACAAAACAGGTAACTTTCATCGGCCCCAACAAAATTCTTTGCAGTCCCTAGATGATGATTTTCCCTTCCCCCCCTTTTTTTTTTGAAATTGAAAAAAAAAATATTTGGGTTTTTCAAACGTGTCTTTCCCAAAGAGCCTTTTATCCCCAGCTACTGCACATTGATCTGGCACTTACACCACTCACAAAATCATTGGTTTGGATGCCTCAACATTATTAGGTGTCAAGACGTTAGGGTGAAAAATAAAATAAAATCTATATTATGATAGCTGTTGACAAATAGTCGTATTTTTCCCCTGTTTTGTTCCTGCTGAGCGTAGGGTGTTAACATTTCCAAATGGCTTGAAATATTAGCGTCTGTGGTCGCCTGCTGGCCATTTGTAGGTGACATGTCTTGGGAATTGGGGGGGCCGACTTCATTTTCTTGCCTCCTTTTTTTTTAAAGGCTTTGGGGGCTCCCATCCATAAATTACAGCCGAGGACAAAAAGTAGAAGCTAACAGTGGAAAATTAGGCCCCAAGGCAAAATAATTACATATACAGCCTTTAGCAGTGAGGGAGAAAGCCATCAATCAGCCCCCAATTATTCACTAGTTAATCAGCTCTGCCCTTCCTTTATTGAAGGGTTACAGTGTAATTAAGTTGGCAGCATCCTTTTAATTCATCAAACATACAACACATGGCAGTATTTGCTACAGTCAGGGGACAGCACCTTTGTGCCTCTGACCCCTAGCGCTGCTGTAGGAAACGAGGAAAACTTCAGAGGTAAAGGAGAATATTTATGCAAAGGCATGCCACAGAGTGAAGAATCTTTGGAGGCACAGCCCAGAGTCATCGCACACACACACACACCGACGCACACACATGCACACGGCAGGGGATTCTGGAAAATGGGACAAGGAGAGCTTGGTAAGAAAAAAGCACTACTCTGCAAAAAATATACCAGGGTGTGTGTGTGTGGTAAGGGGCAAGGAGAGTCTGATAAGAATACCCCCACTCTAGAAAATATATTGGGTAGGGGTGCTTCTGTATTGTGTGTGTATGGCACATACATACACACAAATACAGAGATAACACAAACACACAAATACATGCACACAGAGGACACAAGAACACACACACACACAAACATATACACACAGACATGGCAGGAGATTCTGGAAAATGAGGCAAGGAAAACTTGGTTAGAAAAAATGCACTACTCTGAAAAAATATACCAGGGTGTGTGTGTGTGTGTGTAAAAAGACAGAGAGAAGAGGAGAGAATGTGCCCACACACATGCACGCACAACTTGGCAGGGGTTAAAGAAAGTCTGATAAAAAGAATGCCCCCACTCTAGAAAAATATATTGAGGAGGGATGCTTCTGTATTGTGTGTGTATGACACATACACACATACACAGTGAGAAAACACAAGAACACACACACACGCGCACACATACAGACACAAATGGAAGGCAGAGGTTTCTGAGAAATGGGACAAGGAGAGTTTGATAAGAAAAATTACACAATTCTATAAAAATATACCAAGGAGTCCCCCCCCATGTGGGGTGTGTGTGTGTGTGTGTGTATGTATGTGTATGTGTGTGAGAGAGAGAACACACATGCACACATAATATTCTCATAACTAATGCCAGTACTGCAGCCACTCACACAGTCACAAGGTTGTGAGTTCGATACCACACAGGGGCTCCAGGGTCCACTCAGCCTTCCATCCTTTCTTAGGTCACTAAAATCAGTACCCAGCTTGTTAGGGCAATTGGCTTACACTCTGTAAACCACTTAGAGACTGCTTAATTCAGTTTAAAGTGGTATAGAAATGTAGCTGTTATTGCTATATATATTGTCAGGGAGGCTATTATGAAGAGGATAAAGAAGATGCACATCTTAAAAAATTAGCATTGGCTCATTTATGCATGCAGCTACAAATTTAGAAATGCAAGACTTCTTCCCCATTATAGTGAGGATTGTGGGCAGGTAATCTATGTGCCTGTTCACAAAGCAATCCTATGGCTGAGCATAGCATAAGAGTTCTACATATGGATCTCTGCTATGTCTTCCCTATCACCACCCCCAAGATTCACCGTTGGGCTTCAATAGCCCCTGCATGGCTATTCTGTTGCTGGTGGAGAGGGGAGACATTGGTAAATTATTTGGCTATGTCCTCATAGCCAGAAATAGGCTGAGGACATCTTCTGCCAAGATCTACTAGGGCCCCCTAGAGGTCTCAATGGAAGATGTCATCAGTTTGCGTCTGGCTATGAGGACATAACCATGTAATTTTCCAATCCCCTGGACTCTCTACCAGCAACAAAATGATCATGGTGGAGAGGCCATCAATGTTCACAGCTTGGAAAAAGGTGGCCTCCTTGTTTAACCTCTTGTGTCCCATCTTTCAGGAAGATCACCTACAGTCTTGTTCCAAAATAATTTTTATGCTGTCTAATTCCCAGTAATATTTGTGTCAGCATTACTGTTTGAAAAAATAACCTTAGTTAGTTTTAAGTGTTTTCATTGATACATTTGGGAATCACTTTTAGGGGTTGGTAGGTATGAAACAAGATGCAATTATTCATATAAAGTAGCAGCAGCTGAGCCACTGGACAGGTCAGTGAGAGGATATATCTCCTCCAGAACTTCTGTTGCTGTTGTGTGCCTTCAAGATATTTCCGACTTATGGCAACCCTACAATGGGGTATTCTTGGCATGATTTGTTCAGAGGAGGTTTGCCATTGCCTTCCCCTGAGGCTGAGAGCATGTGATGTCCAAAATCACCCAGTGGGCTTCATGGCCATGCAGGGAATTTAACTCTGGTCTCCAAATTTGTAGTCCAACACTCAAACCACTACCCTACACTGGCTCTCATCTAAGGAGCTACCCACGGGAATTATATGCCCATAAATAGATTCAGAACCTTGGACAGCTCCTTCAATTCTTTAATTTTATTATAATTGCATGACTTTAATGACTGGTGGTCATGGGTCCACCCCCTCCCCACTCCAGGGGCAGGGCTCTGTTTGAAGGTGTCCTATACATGAAATACTAGTTAAAGAACCTTAAGAAGGGCATGTGTGTGTATGTATGTGTGTGTGCACCTTCAAGTCATTTGTTGGTTTATGGTGACCCCATGAATTTCATAGGGTTTTCTTAGGCAAGAAGTACTCAGAAGGGTTTTGCCAGTTCCTTTCTCTGCAATACACCCAACAGTACCTGGTATTCATTGGTAGTCTTCCATCCAAGTATTGTCCAGGGCTTACATTGCTTAGCTTCCAAGGGATCTAGTGCTTTTAGGCCCTAAGAAAGTAATTGTATTGTTGCTGCTGCTGCTGTTGCTGCTGTTGCTGTTGCTGTGTGCCTTTAAGTTACTTCCAACTTATGGCAACCATAAAGCAGGGTTTTCTGGGGCTGAGAGTGTGTGGCTCACCCAAGTTCAACCAGTGGATTTCCAAGCGAGGAATGAAACCCTGAGCTCCAGAGTCATAGTTCAACACTCAAGCCACTGCAGCATGCCTGATGCTGTATCAGAGGAAGCACCTCTGAGTATTCTTTGTCTAGGAAAACCCTATGAAATTCAAGGTTGCCATAAGTCATGAGATGACTTGAAGGAAAACAGCAAACTGGTCCATTGGCATTTACCATCTGGGCATCAGACTGAGCAACAGACATGGGGGGTCTCTGGTTAGTTTTCCCCCCCCATAGAGAGATGTTACTGCATTGCTATTTAAACAGTCCTTATTGTATTTATATTTTCATTACCTTATTCAAATTTTATGGACATTTATGTCCTCCTTTGTCCTTCTATTCTTGATGCATTAGTGGCTATCCTTCTGATTCTCTAATTCAGCCTACAAATGACATGGAATAGCATTAGCAGATCAGACAAAGAACAGCTGGGCCGTATAAGACAAAATGGGTTCCTCTTTCACTTCTATTCCTTTTCAAAAAGCGTAAAGAGTTGTATGCGGGAGGTTTAAGCAAACCCCTCATATCTTTTCCCATGCTCAAATGAACAAATGCACAGTTCATTTGACATCCAACATCAAAGAAAATAAAAGGAGGCAGCAGAAGGAACCTGGAAGCAAGGTGTTGATAATCAATCAATTTATTGGTCGCAAGCTAATTAAAAGCTGACACTTCAAAAACATTTTGGGTTGCCAGAAAATCTTTTTTCATTTCTCCCTAAACAGCTACTTGCCTTTGCAGGTCTAATCATTTCGGAATGTATCGCCAAACAAAATAGAGTGTAATTTCTCCAAAATTCTTGATGGAGATGAATAGGGAAGAATGTGTATGTGTTACAATTGCTTTTGCTACAACCAACTAGATGACCATTGTGGTCTCTTCTAGCTCTAAAAGCCTATGATTCTATAAACTCAATATGACACTCTTTCGACTCTGGATTTCTTAAACCAGGAGAACTCCCAGCTTCAGAGTTTTTGTTTTTCTTTAATTCGTGAAACATGATTTGATAGCATTTACTTGTTGCTACTGCTGTTGTGAACCTTCAAGTCATTTCTGACTTATGGCGACCCTAAAGTAAACTTATCATGGGGTTTTCTTGGCAAGATTTATTCAGAGGAGGTTTGCTGTACCCTTCCTCTGAGGCTGAGCATGTATGACTTGCCTAAGATCACCCAGTTGGTTTCTATGGCCAAGCAGGGATTTGAACTCTGTTCTCCAGAGTCATAGTCCAATGCTCAAATTGTTATATCATGCCAGCTATGACATGCAAACATTTAAAATGAAAGTTCATATTGCAAAGTCTTAGTCTTAGCCTTGTGAGGATTAAGAATGTAAGAAGAACCCTGATGGATCAAAACAACATCTGATCTTGTCTTGCCAACCATTCCTCTGAGTGGCCAGGCAAATGTCTATACAAAGCTCCTAAGCAGGACATGAAGACAGTGCCCCCTTTCTCTATCGTTTCCCAGCTTCTAAAGGAAAGCTAGAATTTTTGTGAAACAGTCTATAATGTAAGAAGAAGTTGTACTGTGCATACTTCACATTTTGTCATGAAAATTAATGTATTATGTACAAAACAATCCCCCCCCCCCGTCCTTCAGCTGTCAAACTGGGCTCATTTTGGCAGCTCAAGTTTGGAAACCTGCATGAGTGTTTGGGCCTCTTTCTCTGTGCATTTTATTTAAAATACAAGTTCAGGATCCATTAATACTGTAGACAAAGCAGGTCATAATACTGTTGATTTTAACCAAAAGCCTGCCCATCAAAGTTCCCCGTGTTTCTTATTGTCAGAAAGAAAGCCATAGCACATACCCTGGTGCAATTTCTGGCTCATCAGTCTGATCATAATGCAGCAACCATGGTCAGCTATGTCTTGCAATTCTGGGGAAGAAGTAAATAGAAGGAGTGTTATTTTGTTCCTTCTGGGCTAGCATATATGGCTGTGTCATGCTTCAGCCAGTGATCACAAACTATACAAGCTTCCAACCCAAATGAGCTATCTTCGATCCCATCCTGGGAGGGTATATATGCAAAAAATAAAACAAAATAAATATGATCATTTTTATAAGAAAGTCACCAATGCATATCCCCCTCTGTTCCAACTGAAGACCTGCTCCGTAAGTTCAGATTTGTTTCTGTTCTACTCCAAAGAGTAGAATCCAACTGGGAACCAACCAATCCAACTGGGATGCAACCAATCCCAGTCTGTTCCAGAGTCGAGATCTGGATCATGATTCTGGAATCTGGATTGCCACTCCTCATATTCACCTGTATTAAGATAGCTTTAAATTTTCCTGTTTCTTTACACACCTGGATGAAAGTTCAAGACATGGTAGACACTGAAGAGGAGTAATTCTGCCAGGTTGTACATGGTTAGCTCCAGAGACATACATGTTTGGCAATGTCAAAGTTCCATTTTGTTTTGAAGCGTACAAAGAAAGACACAGCTGATGTTGAACATTCAGTCTTGTCAATCCATGCAAACTTGTTCTTGGCACTGTTCTCCCACTCTATTTGGGCCTCTTCCTAAAGATCCCAAAGTGTCCCTGAGTAACTTAACAATAGAAGAAACCCATCCCAACAACAAGAGCAGAAAGGCAGAAGAACCTAGCCAGAGCAAGCAGAAGGCAAGCAGAGAGGCTGAACATCAGTCTCATGGTAAAGAATACGGATGCAAATCTTTGCCAATTTCATCCTTCATGTGTGGATGAATAATTCTGGGAGTTTTCTCCCACTGCAGGTAAAAACAAATATTCCTCTGCAGTATTCTCCAGCATAGTCATACATCTCAAAGTATTGCAGAGGACTTACTCTGTGGAGGAAAATACACCCTTGTTTTCTGCATAGAAAACAGATTTGCATGAAATGGTGTTTTCTGTGCATGAAACCCATTTGCAGCACAGCAAGCAGGGTTGCTGTTGTTGTTGTTTTTCACAGTGTTTTTTTTCTGTTGAAGGATTTCTCCACAACATTTTGGTAGTAATAATAATAATAATAATAATAATTTTTATTTAATACCCCGCCCCTCTGAGCTCAATCGGGGCGGCTTACATCGTAAAATTATCAACAACGATTAAAAACAATCATGTCCCCCTCCCCCCATCATGTCTCCCTGTAGGTTTGAATACAGGGAGAAAACCGGTCAAAATTCTTGTCTCTCTATTGTTCTTTCTGATGATTTTTTCTTGACTATTTTTTGGCTTGGGAATGAATAATTAGGAGGATTCTTTCCATCTGTAATGAGGGGAGGAGAGATATGGATCCCTTCCAAAAAAACTTTTTTTATTCTCCCAGCAGCTGAAGTAGTGAGATTCAATGACCCATATTAAGAACAGGGTCTATGTTTTGAAGAAAGATGTTCAGGATGCTGAACCATCAGTTACTTGTGAGATCCTTCTGGGAGAGGAGAACCTTCAATCAGCCTGTGAAGGTGGAATATCTGGGTGCTGTACTGCTGAGAAGACCTCAGCTAGAAGATTTTTCTTTTTATTTAATTTATTCATTCTTCTCCCAAAGGGGGAAGCAAAGTCCTCCAGACATATGGCTGGGACCCAGGCTGGGAGTCGGTAAGGAGTTGCATTCCCAAGAGATTGATCGCAATAGGAAATTGCTTGGAAACACAGCATGTCTAAGTATAGTGCAGAATGAGATGCTCAGAGAATGGGAAATCATTCAGAGGGACACAATAGGAGTGGATATTCTATTTGTCAAGGTACTCTGTTTGCCCATGGAGACAGGAAGGAGAGGCAGATTCCTTGTTGTGAAGTCGTAGGCTTTCATGGCTGGAATCCATAGTTTTTTGTGGGTTTTTCAGGCTGTGTGGCCATGTTCTAGAAGAGTTTCTTTCTGATGTTTTGCCAGCATCTGAAGATGCCAGCCACAGATGCTGGTGAAACGTCAGAAAGAAACTCTTCTAGAACTCTTCAGCCCAAAAAACTATAGATTTCTTGTTTGCTCTGTATATTCGGGCCGGAATCTTGTTGGTGTCATACACATGATGTACGTTCCCTTACACACATAAATGCACTTCTTTTTTTTTAACCAGCATGCAACAGAGGCTACATCTGCATAGCAGAAATAATGTCATTTGGCAACACTTTAACTGCCAGGGCTTAATGCTATGGAATTCTGGGTTTGTAGTTTTGTGAGATATTTAGCCTTCTCTGTCAGAGAGCTCTGGTGACACAACAAGTTACAAATCCCAGGATTCGATAGCATTGAGATGAATCAGTGCTGATATGGTAGTGGTATCAAGCTACATTATTTCTGCAGTGCAGAAACAGCCAAACATATTTGGTTCCTGACTACGTAACTGGAGTTCCACAAGTGTAACAATTTCTTGTGGGCCCAAATCCTATTGTTAGTCCAGAAGAGACTAACAAGCAGTTGGATTTAGCTACATGCCATCTCACTATTCAACAATTGATTCAATGGATCAGCTCTTGCTGGGATTTCAGCTGTGTAGTGTGCATTCTTAGAAGGTGAACTATGGAATATGTTGATGAACCATATCATCCAATACATCATTTGATTCACTAGGATTTCAGAAACAGCCTATTGTGCATTTCCTATTGTGCAGTGGGAGAATAAGCAGCCTGGCAGATACACAATCAGTTGCACACTTATACTCTAGACATTTACTAGGCTGGCAAATGTCAGCCAGAGGACACTTCAGACACTCCTAGACTGTGGAATGACCTGCCAGAAGAGGGTCGACAGCTGAATATGAATATCAACTTTTTCTGTGGATAAACAAGCCAGAAAAAAAATCTCTATCAGTTAGCTTTTCTGTTATATTAAATAGCCCACAAGATTCCTTGAATTATTCTAACTTTATTTGATTCCCACCACTGGGTGGCAATGGCATTCAGTGCTTATTGGGGTCTCCCATATTTAGAGCTGGGCTCTAAAGGTAGCTCAAGGTGAATTAACTCCATGTACACAATGCCAGAAGAAAAATAAAAACAGGCATACATTATGAGGTAAACAATAGATAAAGTAAGTATACAGTCACAGCACAGTAGATAAAGCCAAGCCTGCCACAACTGTTTACAATGATGGGCGAAGAAATTACTTGTCTATGTTGTAAAGACATCAAAGTAGATATTCTTTGGGAATGCTTATATGTTTATGATTGGCCCAACTCTATGCTCACAGTGGATTTTGGAATTTGTCTTATAGCTAGGGTTGCGAGATTGGATCAGAGATAAGGCTCCTGTAGCTCTAATCCTTAACAGATCTTGGACCAGGATGAGGGACCATCAACCCTCATCCTGGTCCAAGATCTGTTAAGGATTAAGGATCTTGAGCAAGAAGAAGGTACCTGTTCTCCTTCTCCTTCCAGAACCCAAACCATTAGCTGTTTTCCCCCAACATGGCTATTGTCCTGCCAGTGAAGGTTGGAGGAGTGGACATGGAGAAGAACCCAGTTCTGTTCTTATTGCTGGCTGCTCCTCTACATCCCATCATTTACTGTCTCCTGATCTTTGTATGTTCTGCCTTCAGATGGAGTGGCGGTGGCATCCTTTCCTCTTTTTTATTTTTTAAAAAACTTGATATTTTTAAAGAAACACCTCACTCCTCATTTTTTCACCTTCCTTCTTCCCTCCCTCCTTTTTCCTCTAATTCCTTCCTTCCTTCCTTCCTTCCTTCCTTCCTTCCTTCCTTCCTTCCTTCCTTCCTTCCTTCCTTCCTTGTTATTATTTTTAAAGGAAAGGTATAGAAACACAGCTCTCAATGCTAATTTTAACTGTTAGTAGCATCTCCCTCTTTCCCTCCCTCTCTCCCTCTTTTGCCATATACCAGAAAAGAATTGACAGAAAGAAAGAAAAAAAGAAAGAAAGGCAAAGAGAGAGAGAGAGAGAGAGAGAGAGAAGGAGAGAGATGAGTGATGCAGGCAAATGGTTTCACATTGCATGAGATACATACAGAAATATAATCATACCCAAGGTCAAACATTAGGGAGAGAAAAAAGGTTGGGCATTTGGGGCACTGAAAGCATGGCTGTCAGATATTGAAATCTCAGCAGGAGATTCGGCTCTATTAAAACTGAATACAGAATTACTTTCCGCCCGCTACTTTGTGTGCATGTATAACTAGTTTGTTCATTTGGGTGCCCCCTGTGCTATTCGGGAAAGGTAAGGCTGGAGCATTTGGAAATAGAGAAGCCATGCCAGGTCTTTTATTTGCAGTTTGTATATATCTGGGGCAATAGCTATTGAAATATGCATGGGGGTGGAGAAATTTCAATAATTAATTTGGATAATTTAAAAAAAAGAAGAAAAAGAGGAAAAAGGGAGGGGGGGATGAGATAAAAGACTGGAATATAAGCCCAACTCAGGTATAATTCTTTACATTCACTGGAGACAGCTACAGCAAAGAGTCCTGAGTTTCAATCTCACCTTTGCCTAGAATATGCAAGGTAGCCTTAGGAAAATTGTGATTCCCTTGGCTCCCAATCTTCCATAGTGGAAATAGTGATAATGCTGACTTTTGCTAAGGACTGCCTAGAAATAGAGCATTTCCAGCATTCAACAGTGTTAGACATGTTAAAAAAAAAATAAAAATAAAAATAAAGAATATAATCAGGGTCTGGATTTTGGCTGTCTCTGAGAAGTGAACCTATAAGTGAAAGGAGAATCAGGGAGAAAAGGACTCAAATGGTTTTGAAGTCATCTGGTTTTCGTTTATTTCATATATGAATATAGCTTGTAGTGCACGAAGAACCTCCATCCACATTGAGGGATTTGGGGATGGAATGCAGACACCTGTAGAGGAAAAGAATGAATCTGAAAACTGAGATTCAATGAATGAAATGAGCACATAGTTTACTTAGGGATGTGGGGTACGTATATGAGAGGAGAGCATTCCCCCTAAGTAAGAATTCCAAAACCTCAATGAGTTTTTTCTTCAGTTCCTACATTTTTTAGCATTTCTTACAACGTCAGCTGAGCATTTAGAAATAGAGTGTAGGCATTCAAAGAAAAGGAGCAGACAGAGTTACCAAGGGAATGTGAACATAGAAAATGTAAGAGTTGTAAGTTGGATGATTTTCATTTTCTCAGTGTCTGCAGTGCTAGAAATTTGGGGACTGATAGAAAATTTCATTCTTATTTGGAGGAGCAGTTTCGATATTCCCCTCGAATAGCTGTATCTCTGCTCCTATTTTCTACCGCTATTATATATGGGATAATTTAGATTGCTCCTTTTTGTTTTGTTTTTTAATTTATATCCTTCTCCTATTTAGTCACACTGGAGTATTATTGTTTGTGATACTGATGAATTATTTTTAATTTTTATTCCTTTTTTTAAAAAAAAAATCAAAAAAATCAGTGTTAGATATATATAATAGCTACAACACCAAAATACTCATCGATCTTTAATTTCTTCTTTCCATTCAGGTAGTCATGTTGATCTCTTGCAATAAAATCAAGATAAACCCTGTGTTTCATTACATTTTCTTGTTTGTTTATTGGATTAATATCCCACCTTTCCTGCCAAAAAGTGGTACTTGAGCTGTCTAACAGCAGCAAACTCAATAAATAAAAAGAGTATGAGTACGAAATAAAACAATTTTTAAACAATGAGGAATACATTTTAAAAAAGAAAAACAGCAAGCACTCAAGAATTTAATCTGCTGGCATTAAGATGTTAAGAAAATATATTAATTGTATAATCCATTAGTGACCTGTATAATTAATTGTATAATCCATTAGTTCACTAGTTAAATCCTTATTTTATTTTTGGCCATAATTTAAAATTACTAGGAATGGCCACTAATAGACAGAAACAAGGAGAAATAATAGTTCTGATTGTGTGTTTATTGATTAAAATAATACATTTTACGATCGCTGTTGAAAATTTCAATGTGTTAGGGGTAACTAATGACTTGAATTGCAATAAATCAATCATTGTTGAACAATGTAATGAATTACAGTTGGCCCTCCGTTTTCGTGAAAACAGAGACTTGCCAATACTCAAGCCCCATAGGCATTGATTTTAATGGAGATCGCCCCTCCGTGAACATTCAGAACTGCAGACCTCAAGTCCGCAAGAACGGAGGGGCAACTGTACGTGTAAGAAATAACAAAGTCTGGATTCTTTCCCTCACAATTTAATGAGAACTTCAGATTTGTGGGACTTCATAACAATTTAGCCTATGCTGACTGCCACTGCCACTCCATCTGAAGGCAGAAACATGGCGCCCAGCATTGAACACATGGCTATGCACTTTCTTGTGATCTCAGAGGACATGATTTCCATGAGCAGCAGAGGTACTGGGCAACACAATGGGATGCGTGTGTAGACAGCCATCCAGCATTGCTAAGGAGTACTCCAGGTTTTTATATAAAATCAAGTGCAATAGGCGAATTATTCAAAACTGTTTTAAGAGAGGGATAGGGTGGATTCAGTGTGAAAATCGCCTTATATAGTGAGGACAGTCCACACTCAAATTGGGGATTTGGTCATGCATTCTGAAGACAGGTCGGTGTGAGGACAGGGGCAAACCACTTCATTTGGTCCATGTATTATTATTATTATTATTATTATTATTATTATCCCACTTTTCTCCCAGTACAGGGACTCAATACCTGTAGACATGCCCACAGTTGCATAGTGATTTGAGTGTTGGACTACAACTCTGAAGACAAGGGTTCGATTCCCTCTTGGCCATGAAACCCACTGGGTGACCTTGGGCAAGTCACATACTCTCAGCCTCAGGGAAAGGCAATGGCAAACCTCCTCTGAACAAATCTTGCCAAGAAAACCTCATGATAGGGCCACCAGAAGTCTGAAACAACTTGAAGGCACACAACAACAACAACAACAACAGACAGGGGTTTGGTTTGTATGCAATTTTTATCAATTTTATTAATTATTAATTTATAATTGGGATAATTTCAACTTAGTTTTACATTGATTTGATTTAATAAATTTTTAAGGGGGGGAGGGGGAATGATGTTGTTTTACACTGTATTATTGTATATTTTATTTTCATGTTCACCACCCGGATTGGTCCGCCATAGGGCGGTATATAAATAAAAATTATTATTATTATTATTATTATTATTATTATTATTATTATTATTATTATGGCCACTGTTGCAAGCTATACTTAATATGTTATTATTCAAACCATTGGTGGTGGGCTCTTTGAACAAATGATTGAGTATTTGAGTGGTGAATCAAACCCCATTAGTTTTACCAAGTGAAGGTGAAAACTGTCGATACTGGCTTGTTGTTGTGGATTAACAGAGCTGCCTGCCATTTTGGACTCCCATTGTGGGTTGTGTGACTATTGAAGCTGGCAAGATGAACACCTTCAGATTGAGATTTCAAGAGGTATCTCTAGTTTTTAGGTAGAATCATAGAATCATAGATTTATAGAGTTGGAAGAGACCACAAGGGCCACCCAGTCCAACCCCATTCTGCCATACAGGAACTCAAAATCAAACCTTCCCAGACGGATGGCCATCCAGTCTCTGTTTAAAGACAGATTAATACGTTTGTGCAGAATTTCAACCAGCAGAAGCAACAAACCAGTTTGTAGGTTTAATGGGGCTGGATAGTTATGAAGCAGTACTGAAGAATGCCATAGTTCAATGATTATGCCACCATAAATAAAAATCTTATGCCATGATAAACTGGTTAATCAGATACCACAAACCTCCTTATTGTTTTTGTTATTTAGAGGGGAAAAATATTTTCTTTTGGGTTTAGAATATCCTCTGTCTTATTCCTAAGTGATATTTGCCAAACCATTTAGGCACTCAGACGCTGACTCTTCAGGAACTGATTCTTTTTAAAATGGTTACAGCTGAAAATCAGAAGATGTAAAAGGTAGTTGGCAATCTCTACAAAGTTTCCCTTCACAAACTGTATCGGAGCTGTCTTGCCACTTTGGGTTTTCCGCTGCCATCCGTGTCTGCGTCTCTCATAGGCGAGTATCCAAATCTCTAATTTGAAAATAAAGATGGGTGTTTATTTCCTTCCTTTGTTTCTGGAGACTCATTTCCAAGTGCTTATCTCCATAATATGGAGAGTGGCTGAGGCTCGGATGAGGTTTAAGCAGTAGGTGGCCTAATTCATATGCCATCATGGCATACTTTGCTGCATCTTTTTGCTGAATGAGAATGAATTTTAAAAGGCCTCCAGAAAAATCATCTCAGATGAATTCCTCTTGCTGGAATACAAGATGGGAAACAAGGCTATGGGCCTTTTGAGCAAAGCGGCACTGAAAGGTTGTTCTGCTAGTTTTAGATATTCATCCCCACTAAACAATTTGGGCCCCTTCAGTGTTCCTGTAGAACAAAAAAAGACCCACCAAAAGCCCACAGCAGACTTTATACCTTCTGGTATTTCAGAAAGGAAAATTGGGACACGTATGTCTAAGCAGCGTCAAGATGGCAAAAGTTATTAATGAGAAAGAACAGACAAGCTAGGAGAGGCTGTAGCAGTTTGCTTTTGCCTGAGCCTACAGGGAAGAGCAAGATTCCCCTCCTTCTTTCCTGGGCAGAATAATCTTAAAACGTTTCCCCACCATTCCATAAATCTGGGACTTGCAAATATTCCTGCTCCATACAAAACAACCATTTCTAAACTCATCCAGCATTTCACAGACGGAAATTGGCATGCATGTGGGGACCTGCAACAACAGACTGTAGACAAGGTGGCAAAAGTTAATAATGAGGAAGAACAGACAAACTAGGAGAAGCTGCAGCAGTTTGCTTTTGCCTGAGTCTACAGGGAAGAACAAGATTCCCCCTTCCTTTCCTTCCCTCTGCACCCTTTGCACTTTATACTTACAGCAGCTGGTGTAAGCTGAAGACATAGGAGAAAAGTGGGAGGAGTAGAGAGAAAAGGGGATCGTTTTAAAAGCAGCTGAAAAAGTGGATGACAGAGGATTCACAAGGATTGCCCCTGACAAATCAGAACAGTTCAATGGTATAGGCTTCTACCAAGCTGTAAGCAAATGGTCCTTTGAAATGTTTCCCTTTCTTCATGGACAGGGAAAATGGGAGGGAAGCATTCCACCAGAGTTTTGCAAGCCGCTTCATGCACAAAAAGCCAAATGTGTGCAGGATGAGTCCTGAACTATGAAGATTCTCACTCATCCAGGAGTCTCCATTTCAGAATTTCCTACCGCTTGAGAAACCTATTTTTGGACCATTGTTCAAATATTTTTGAATCTGCTCTCCATCTCTAAAAAAACACTAGCACAGAGCAAAAGTGCCAGTAAATCCAATTCCTCCCACTTTGACAAGCACCCACCTGGAACCACAAAAGTCCTTTAGAGCCAGCAATGATTACATCGGGATCATTTTTTTTTTTAAAAAAAAACAAGAAATAATCAAGGCAATTGGTCTGAGTAGACTCACTCAAATCAATAGGCTGGGTAAGTCTTAACTAACTTAAGGCCCACTAAATTGATTTCAGTAGGTCTGCTATAAGCATTTCTAAATCCAGGGCATTTTTTAAAAGGAATTGCTACTGGGTGTCCGCCTCTCCACCACCTATAAATCCTGACATGTGGATTGCAATGAAAATGATAAAAATTAACAACAGCAACAGAGGATGAATACAGCCTTGCAAATACATTTATACAAGTCAGTGAGCCTAGTAATATATTAGCCTGCCTACCCGCCAGCAACGGATATATTAGAAAGCAAAAAAGAAAAAGAAGAAAAAAGAAGAAAAAAAGTCTTATGGCTGTAATGTCCCTTCATAAGCCCTCTTTGGAGATTTATGTGGCCCCACCTTCCTACCCTCTGTGCAGAACATCACAAAAATCAGATGTTCCTACTCTCTGTGCAGTGTTGCTTTGGGGCTGGGTAGGAATTTTCTCCCCCTTTATGGTCTTGGGAGGAAGTGCCCTCAGTTTACCTTTCACTAAACAGCCAGATGGGAAGCAAGCCATGATATTGAATTGCCCTTGGGGTCAAGTGTCTTGCCAAAGAGAAGGTTGGGGAAGGAGTCTCAGGTTCACGCCTGGCTCTCAGCTGGACCTGCATCAGGTTGCTTCCCCCCTTTGTGTTGCTTATCTCCATGTTCAGTTTAAATAGGTTTTAGGTCAAATAATGTAGCCCCTGTTTAACCCACTGTCTTGTATCTGGTCTTGTTATGTGGAGGATGGTCATCAGTGTATGCATCTATACATTTGCATGTACGAATGTGCGAGCTGGAGAGAGAAGAAAGCAGATAAGAAGAAAATTAATGCATTTGAGATATGGGGCCGAAGAAGAGTGCTGAGGATCCCATGGACAGTCAAACAGACAAACAAATGAGTCCTTGAAGAGATCAAACCTGAAGTTAGGGCTGATGCAGATGGCTCATTTGGGGTGGCAGAGAGCTGCCCAGAGGAGTAGCAGATCGGGGCCGTGGCAACCCCACGCTGCGGCCCCGATCCTTCCTTTGCCGCCCCTAAAAGAGCGGCAAAATGCCACTCCTTTTAGGGCGGCAAAAGGCCACCCTAAGAGCTGGGGCTGTGGCTCTTCCACACCTGTTCAGTGCAATGTGTCTACATGCTGCACCGGAAGGGCGTCCTGACACTGTGCGCCATGTGAACGGCCGGGCGGCGTCAGGACAACGTTGAGGTGGGGTTGAGGCAGCTGGCGTGCGGCTGCCCCATCCCAACTCTACCCTCAGGCCAGCTCTTGGGCCAATCTGCAACAGCCCATAGTCTCAAAGGTGCTACAAGTTCCCTCTACATATTGATTTTATGCATACTTCATTCAGTTAGTCTCAAAGATGCTACAAGATCCCTTTGCATACTGATTTTCCAGATTAACACAGCTAGGTCTTTGAATTCTGCCACCATGGAATACACCAAATTTAGGCTGATGGAGTGGAATTCCATTAACCTCTTCAAGAAAGTTCCCCAGGTACAGACAGACATCATCTTTCTCAACAAGTGCAAGCAAGAGGATATCATTCCAAAAAGCATGCAGGTGAAGAACCCACTACAATTCGTCTCAAAGGTACTACAAAATCCCTTTGCCCAGGTCAATGTTTCCTTCACATGATATGGTTTCTTAGCATTGCAACATCATCACACCACTTCAGTTTTATCTATTGCTCTTTCTCAGTTGCTCCTTCCAGGGTGATAAGGGATCTGGTTCTTTGCAAAAAGTCAAGAGCAGTTGAGATTGTTCAAACAGTTTCTTTCTTCTCCTAAGTACCCTCTCTATCTTTATCGTTTCATCTGCCTCTGCCCTTTGGAATGATAGAGATAAGAGTTCATGCTGCCAAAAAAGAAAAGAAAAAAGAACTGGGCATCTTGGAAAGTGGCAGAATGCCCCCTAATATTTTGCCAAAAGCTGGAGTGAGTTGTCTGTCAACAGTCCAGCCTCTTAACTTACTGCTGCTTTCCAGAGATCACCAATATGAAGGAAAAAGACGTCACTTTGCCCATAGTGTTTGGATTAGCCATAAATCTGCTAATCCAACCCAATATCCAATGGACTAATGTTGAATCTATGGGGCCATAAATCCATGCCACTCTTCCATTATTATAGACCCCAGATGGGCAAGGGACATAATGAGATTTTGGAAGACATTTCATTCTTTTGTCAAAACATTGAGTCTGATTTTGCCTACCAAGTCCACATTTTTATGTCTCTGAAAAAAAAAATATTAATGCTTTATGATAATGGATTATTTTGTCTGTTTTGGTT